AACTGATAGGAATTTTATTATTAATATTTAAAATATTAGAGTTTACGCGACTATTTACGTGACAAATACTGTTAAAGCTACTATGTATAAAAAGCATATTTATATATTAATATATTTACTTAACAAAATACATGTATATGTATTACTAATGGATCTGCAAACTCTTTTAGTAATACATGTATTTAAAAATTTTTAACCGTTTTGGTACATTTTTTCAAATTTATTTCATCTCTTTTCCTTTGAATATTTTAGATTAAAATGCTATTCTAGTGATATATCTTTGTGAATCATTCAAGACTAAAAAATTGTGATTTCATTCCAGCTTTTTTATCTTATACATGTAACTGTTTTGCTTTAAAACGATGCCATCCTTTATTATTAACAGCAACAACTATAACTATAATATAAATTTAAGTTTCTCGACGATTACACCCGCAACAATATATAACGATATAATAGCTGTGCGTTCAAACTTTTCATCATTTTTAACATAATGCCATATAATATTAAGCTAATAATCAATAAATGAGCTAATATATTTAAATTCACCTAAGTAGGATTATATATATTATGTAAAAGAGCAGAATGAAAATGTTATTTAAGCTGCATTTATTTTATTGGATAAAAGACAAACGAACTTAGCAAAAAAAGAATATTTATAATTGTAAAAAAATGAAATATTTCACAATTATAAAATGATATATTTTTTAAATAATAAATTTATAATATATGCTAATTATTATGAAAGTTCGATAAAATATAAATGATTATTTTTTAATAAGAAAATGATATTTTTTTGTTTATTATAAAATGAAATATTTTTGTTGCATTATACTCAGAATCACGTGTACGGACAAATTCCACTATATGCTATAAATATATTCCTGATCATTAACCAAAAATCTGATCCAAAGTATTGTGAAATTTTTCAATGTTGGGGGTAATCTATTAATAAGACACATTTTGCATTGATAAACATGATAAAAAGTTTTAAGTCAGCAATTTGTTTCGTGACATGATAAAATATTTCTTATAAAAGTAGCTTTGTAAGATAATAATAATATATCCATCTTTTTTCTGTTCTTTCCTTTGCTATATTCAAATTTTTCTTTTATTATTTTATTGAACAATCCTCTCATAAAGAGATATTGTGATTGCACAAATAAATCCTAAATATTTACAATACAAGCATTCATGAAAAACAACCTCATTAATAATTATATACACTTGTTCTTTCTAAAATACCAAATTAGCTTATTACTTTTGACAATATATTGAAATGTGTTTGCGGGTCAATTAAAGAAGTAGAAATACAGCCATACACAAAAGTGAAAAAGCTGAAAATTAATGACATCTAGTTTAAACGTCAAGCAATCAAAACTGGCAAGAATCTTTATATCAATACTATGTTCATAGCTTTAAGCTCAAATATCTTACAGTCATATTGAAAATCATGTTTAAAGCATTGAAATTCCACTCAATATTGAAAACCTTAATGTGATCCACCTTTTAAAGATGGATATCTGGTTGAATTATCAGAAACTTGACGAATGATTAGTTGTCAGATGATATTTTTTTTGACTGATTAACCAGACGATATTTTTGAAACGTCAATGTTACAAGATAATAAATTTCCGAGATTTTGCTAAGGTGGCGATACATTATCAATATTATTATTTACAGTATAATAAGAATATGTAAATTTTTAATTAACCTGGTAATACAAATCCAGTATGAGAAAGTACCATAAAAAATTTTTCTTTGAATATATTCTGATTTTTTCTGATTATATTGAAAATATTCCAAAAGTTTTGTATATGTTCCAATTATATTCTGAATAAATTTACAAATAACCTGGTTATCTCCTAAAAATAATTATTAAGCAAAATTAATCTGAATTGTCTAACTAATCTTTAGAAATTTCAATCTGAAAATAATCAATTTGCCTTCATAATATAATTATTAGAAATTTTTAATCCTAAAAAAATCCAATTAGCCTTACAGATAGTCTTATCTAAATGTAATACAATTTTCTCTAATCAATTATAATATGCTTATTTATTGCTACTTTAAGAAATTCTATACAATAATCAATTGCAGCTACATTAATAATGCTTGTTATGAAAATATTCTATATGATTTACTAGCAAGCATTGAATAAAATAATATAAAGCTTAAGCATAAAACTCAACGCTTAAAATTCAACAGTATTCTTGATCAATATGCATTTTTATCAACTATCTATATAATACCAAATAATATATTTAGAATACAATAAATTATGTCTTGGTTATCTTTCTCTAATTTTAATTTACTTTCGCCAATTAAAAAAACTTACAGAATTGAATAGTTATTTCGAGCAATATCTCCTTCGTGATTAGAAAACTGTGAGCTAATTAATGCTCCAGATTTAATTCGCAACTTACAATATTTTTGAATTTGATAAGTTATTATTTAAATTAATACAAATAGTATTAATAAAGTTCATTATACAATTTAAAAATTTGAATTACTACATCTATATCATTCATTATCAGATCTAATACTGTTACATAATATTGCTTGAGTTCTCAAATATCCGTTTTTGTTATAGTATACTTTTGAAATGGTGAATGAAATTTTCTCAGTTGCTGAAAAACTAAAAGCATGTTTCAGTAGCAGAATTTGAGGTTCTTTTTGAAAAATATAAAAAACTTTCTTGATTAAATTCAGTATAATATTGCAAGTGTGAAAAATCATGTCCAAGTAGTTATCTGATTTATAAGAATCATATATAAATGTTGATGAGAATGAACCAAAGGTATTAATGTTTCACACAATCTTTCCATAGAAAATTGCCATGTTGCCCATGATGAACCTGTTTCTTGAATTGTTTTTATCATATGAGAGAGGCAATAAAAGCTAATGAAGTCGATTTAGATCTCTTTAAGTGTATTTATTGGATAATTTTATATTTAAAGTTTAATAATAATATCGAACTAATACAATATTATTTACATAATAATATATTAACAGTCTTACTTCTCATAATAAGAAACAAATTTAACGAAATGTGTTTGAATTTCTTCAAGTTCATGCCTAGAAATAGCTGGTTCAAGATATAGCTGAATTGCTTTGACAAATCTTGCCCATCCATTTATGCGTCTGTAAAAATTTCGAGATTAGTGAATATTACAATAACAAATTAATTAAAATTTAAAATCAGATATCTTGTAAGTAGATAATCTTGGAGAAGCTGAGTGAATATAAAATTATTCAATTCTGCTTTAAAAGCAGCATGTTTTTGTATATTGATAGTAAAGCCTTCATTCCAGTTGCTGGATAACCAGCATCATCAAGTGTTTCATTATTAAAGACTTGCGAGTGAAATGGTGAAACATATATTGAGAAATGTTTTCAAAGAGAGCATGCATGAATCTACTGGAAATGATGTGGGAATTCAATTGAACACAGCTCTAATAAGATACTATGACCATTTATATCTTTTAAAAATAATATATTAAAATATTAATAAATATAACAATCACGGTCACAATAATTCATAAGTCTGATAAATGAAATCTCAAATTTACGGCATTCCGAATAATCGATAAAGTGATGGAAAGAATTAGAGTATTTTAACAAGTTTATAACTTCGAAACAACAAGTTGTTAATAATATTATTTAAAAAAAATAAACACATGGAAATTCAAAATAATAACATCCCAAATGTACGAAATCCTGAAAAGCATGGCATCCCAAATATCAAAATCATGATATTATGCATTTGAAATGTTGTTAATTCAGGATTTCGATTATTAGGAATGCCATTCGTTCAGAATATCGTGCATTCAGGATGTTATTCGTTCGGGATATCATGCATTCAGGATATCGTGCATTTGGGATGTCATTTTTCAGGATATCATTCATCTGTGATGTTGTGTATTTAAGATTTCTTTCATTTAGTATCTCGTTTGTCGAGTTTATGATTGTCAGAATATAAAATATCACTGAAAAATCTGTGCATATAAAAATAAAACTTGCTTCATTCACGTTGAACTTTATTTCTTGTTCCTGCCTCACTCTTCATCGCTTCAATATCTTGAAGATAGGTGATGTGAGATTGTATTATTAGATTATCCCTTAAACCGATTCTTCTACGATTTGTCCAGAATTTCAAACATGTATAGATTAAATAAACAGAATATATTTAAATAAATATAGTAACTCAATTGAAAAAAATTTATTATATTATAGAGCTTAACTTAATGAAAAAGTTTACTTATTGCATCAAAAGTAGTTTTATTAGTAAAAAATTGAGTTTTTTTGGCTTCAAACAATTTTTCTTCAAATTTGCCCTCAATTTCAGACAGTTTAAGGGATGATTAGTTCCATTATATCCTCGTGGTGGCTGAAATGAAAAATATATCAATAGTTCCACAAATAAAATATGGTTATCCGTGCTCATTAGCAAATTCTCGCCACACTCGGTCATTATAAATATCTGCGAGAATATTATCTTCAATATAACGTTTCCAAGGTGACTCCAACAATTTTTCAAATTGTAATTTTGAAACATGGTCACCAATCTGGAAATAAGAGATTGATAAGGATAAATAACACGAAGCTGCAAATAAGTAAATTAGTAATAGTTTATATTATTAAAATAAATTAAGTAGTATTAATTAAACAAACCTTATATTGTTTCATTCCATTTGAATTTCGAGTTTCTTTGGTCAAAATTTCATCACAATCTGGTGTGATGCATGTTGTATGAGAGGTTTTGCTGAGTTGGATTTGAGAGCCAAGTCGTAAAGTATGATATTTAGAACAAATTTGTATTTATGAATGTTATTATTAGAATCTATAGCATGTTTCACCAAATAAATTGTTTTTGGAAAATGAGCAAATTGAAAATGATCAAGATATGTAAAGAATTGAATATATAAATGTGATCAAAAATATTATTGCAGTTTTAAAAACTGAAAAGTTTATTAAAACACAAAAATCCAGATAAGTATTCATTGTATAGAAATATCAGCATCAGTTTGAGTCAGGTTGTATGAGAGCAATGATATTGCAAGTTGACCATTATTTGTTTCTTCAAAATGCTCATCAATTTCGGCTTCTTCAAGAATATCATAGTCTTGCATTAACTGCTTGGTATCATTCATTTCATTTTTATCTTCAATATCATTGTCATCACTCCAATCAAATAATTGTAGTTTAATTGAACGAGATGCTCTTGTAGATGATTCAGCCTATTTAGAGTAGAATTACGTGAATAATATGAATTAATATTAAGATTATAACAGTTTAGTTAAGACTTACTTGCTCTTGATTTTGTTGATTTATATCATATTGCAAAATCTTGATATCTGCTAAATTAGAATATTTTGTAAATAATATATAATTAATACATATACAAGGACCAATCTCACACTTTCTATAGCTTTATACATACTTGTTTATATCAAAATAGCACTATTATATTCATATTTCTTTATATGACTTTTTGCTTTTGCAATAGTAATCTTAGTTATCTTGATACTCTCATGACTGACTGTAGAAATTACTGTATATTATATTATTTCTATAATTTTCTACTAATTACTTACCTATCTAAAGACCAATAATACTTTGGATACAAGCAAGAATACATTTGTAATGCTGAGAATATAATATCAAGAGTTAATAATAACTATAATGATAAGTAAAAGCTTTATCCAAAGTAATAACAGATGAAAAGCAATAGCAAAAAGAATAATATCAGATAATATTAGTATATAATACTAAAAATCTTATCTAGATATCAATAGGTAGAAATTACATGTAATAATATAACAAGAAAATTGTTATAATAATTAGAAGTTCTCTTAATAGTTCTCCATATAGTTTATTTATAATTTGTTAATTATTTCCTGATTAATATCAACTATTAGAACATTTCTAAGATATAATAGATATATATTTCTTAACAGTTTTCCAGGTGAACTTACACTGACAAAATTATTTATTTTATCTTTGGAAATAATTATTACTTCAAATCTATATTATAATATTTATATTACAGTAAATATACCAGTCTTTAAATAAGAAAGACTTATAATATTATATAGTTATTATTAATTTTAATATTTATTATATCATATTCTTTCAAAAGTAATTATTTATATATATATATAAAAAATAATAGATATTACCTAATATTTTAATATTCTGATATCTAACTTTTTAAAATTCTAATATTTTAACAATCCAACTTCCTAATAAAAATTATTCATAATAGTAATTGATAGCTAGCATTTACTATATATAACTGAAAATAAGAACTCCAAAAATTAAACTCTTCAAATACTAAAATTAGAGAGAGTTCTTATTTTCAGAACTTTGCAATTGATATTAATTAGAAATATGAAATATAACTCAAATCTATTAATAATATAATATATATAAAAAAAGAAAAAAGATAATCATATTCTATTAAAAAAAAGATTACTGTTATTTATTTTGCTTTAGTCTTTAATAATATCAGAGCTGCTTCTTATTTTAATATTACAAAAAGTATGATTAGTAAATAGATAAAAGCTTTAAAAAATTAGCTTGATAACTTTAAAAATTATAAGTCTTGTCAAATTGGTACTGGTAAAAAGAAGTTTTTCCCAAAGAAGAAAAATAACTTTTTACTTAGTTTCATCAAATATATGAGACTATCTTGACTATTACATATTATAGTTTCAAAATTGAAATATTAAAACTTATTACTAAAACTACTACTATTATAAATAACTTTGCAAAAAAAATTATCATGAATAATTTCAAAGCTTTCTTAAAATAGCTCAAATATTTTTTACATTATTATAATCTTACTCTTCATCATAAAATAAAGATATCACAAAAATTATTCAAAGATCTCAAAGAAAAGTTACTTAATTTTCAACAATATATAATCTAATTATATTAACATAAAGATTTTTTACTTAGTTATATTGCAAATATAGATAAAACTTTAATATAATTTAATATGACAGATGATCTTATTATTAAGAAAATTAACAAAAAAACAATTCATATTCACACTATAAATAATAATAAAAATCATTTTATAATTGTTCTTACCTATTTTGTTAATGATCAGAAACTTCAGCTAACTATTATCTTTAAAAAAAGTAATGACCTAAAACTAAAAATATATTATTATCATCTTTTAACATTAATATTTTCTTTTATAAAAAAGATTGAATAGATAAAGAAGAAATAATAACTTGAACTTAGAATTTTGTAAAAAAATAATTAGGTAACTATAATAAAGAGCTCATTTTACTTATTTAAAATTCTTTTAAAATATATCTTACAAATAATATTAAGAATGAAATAAAAAAAATAATATTGATCTTGTTGTTATTTCTGATAGTCTTATATATATCTGTTAATTACTAGATGTTTCAATTATTTATCCTTTCAAAGCTACTTTTTATTATTAATAGTATATATAGATAGCAGATAGAAGTGTCAGAAAAATTGCCAATAGAAATTTAAAGTGCACAAGCTTGCATACCATATATAACTGGATGCTTATAGTCTAAGAGAAAATTACTTCAGAGATTATTCAGCATATATTTTAAAAGTATTATATTTCTAATACTTTGGATAGATTGGAGAATGAAAGAATTTTTGATAAGTTAATATATATAGAAGGAATGATAAAAATGACATAGATATGATAGATGAAGAAAGAAAAAATAATTAAAAGAATAGTGAAGAGGAAATTTATGAAATTAATATAGTAGAAGAGAATGAAGATGTTATTTTTTTTATGCAAATATATAATATAAAATCTAATAAATTATTCTTTTCCAAAAACTAAAGGTTTCTTATTTTTGAAGAATACTTATTTTTGGTCATATATAGTATTAATATTTAATAATAAATAATTCTTGGTAATTACACAACTTTATTTTTAATTTATTAATAACTAATAGATTTATTATAAAAGGAAATTGAATATAAATTTTAATTTCATATAATAAAAAGTTAAGAAAATTGAATATAAAAGAATAAAAGTAATATATATCATTATAAAGAAAGATTGTGCACAATTCCATAAAGAAAATCTAATACTGAATAATTTTCTCAATCATTAATAATATTTATAGTTCTTCCTCTCTATCAATTATTAGCTTTTTCAGGATGTTGGGATAGATCCAAAATAATCTGTACATGTATTAAATTAATTAAAATATTCAAAATAGAATATATAGTCCTTAATTAGTATATGTAATTGTTAAATATTATTATTATTCTTATTGCTACATATTACCTAAATCAAAATTCCATATTGGCAACAATTAGAACATTCACCTCATCAACAATATTATTTTTTTATATCATATTAATTAGTAGAACTTTTTCTAATAACTTATTTTAACATTACAATTGTCATCATAATTAGATTTAACCGCACATTTAATAATTACAGTGGTCGTCATAAATATTTGGAATTTTTGATATAGTGCATATAATAATGAAAAATTGTCAAAATTGCCTGATAATTTAGACACATCTTCTTTATAA